TCTCTCTCTCTCTCTCTCTCTCTCTCTCTCTCTCTCTCTCTCTCTCTCTCTCTCTCTGCTGCAGGTGCTCTGTTCTGTAATTATGCGTCATATTACTCTCACCTGGCGCAGGTACCCAGCAATCTATAAGTCTGCCTGTATAGGGTACACAGTCTGAAAGGTCCATACGGCGAAAATCCCTCGTAAGAGAAGGTGTAACTATATGCTTACCCGATTCATTTAAGATAAAACACAAAAATATCATCATAGATTACAGTGAGATTTCATTAACTGGATACGTTCACTTAGCAGCAGCTACGAGACGAGTAATGCACAGATTTTTCCCAAAGAATTTTTACTTCCATTTTTCAATGCTAAGTGAACGTATGTCTAGTTAAGGTAAAATCTTAGTGTAATTTGGATATTATTTTACGTATATTATTAAACATTCACTTACGTGAAATATTCATTGTTCGAACCTGTAGTTTTTGCTGCCCACCTGATGTTACTGATTGTCGTCCCCTTCCAGGTGTCGTCAATTACTACTTTTATTACAGTCATTTACCACCTGAAAGGTGTATTCCCACCTGCGTGCACATAGTGTTTATGCAAATTAACCATCGCTGTTCATCATCCTTATCCTTTTCTTCTTTGTAAGAAACATATTAATTCACCCCAAGTGTGATGGTAAACTAATTAAGCTACACAAGTTGATTTGACTTAATACGACTATATCTCTATATTCTTTTAGGCTCTTTACGCTTAACCTGTAGCCTATTACTATAGTCTCTTCAACACTCTGAATTACGAACATACTCAAGAGACTAAGACATCGTACTCAAGGGGTTAATACATCGTACTCAAGGGGTCAACACATCGTACTCAAGGGGTTAATACATCGTACTCAAGGGGTCAACACATCGTACTCAAGGGGTTAAGACATCGTACTCAAGGGGTTAAGACATCGTACTCAAGGGGTTAGGACATCGTACTCAAAGGGTTAAGACATCGTACTCAAGTGATAAGATATCGTGTTCAAAGGATTAAGACATCGTATTCAAGGGGTTAAGATGACATACTCAAAGGGTTAAGGCATCGTACTCAAAGGGTTAAGACTTCGTACTCAAGGGGTTAAGACAACGTACTCAAGGAGATAATTGTACCAGCGTAAGTTATTCCAAATTAAGTACAGACTTATGAAAGATGCTTCGCCGTAATGAGACGACATATTCCGCATTATTAAGAGTGATACTGTGTTCAGACGTGCCACCTCCACTCATAATACCCTGAAAACATCAACGCCAGAAAGAAGGGTTTAAACTATAACCCCTTGGTGGTGAGGGTTTAAACTATAACCCCTTGATGGTGAGAGTTTAAACCATAATCCCTTGATGGTGAGGGTTTAAACTATAACCCCTTGATGGTGAGGGTTTGAACTAAAACCTCTTGATGGTGAGGGTTTAAACTATAACCCTTGATGGTGAGGGTTTAAACTATAACCCCTTGATGGTGAGGGTTTAAACTATAAGCCCTTGATGGTGAGGGTTTAAACTATAAGCCCTTGATGGTGAGGGTTTAAGCTATAACCCCTTGATGGTGAGGTTTTAAACTATAACCCCTTGATGATGAGGTTTTAAACTACAACCCCTTGATGGTGAGGGCTACTATAACACCTTGATGGTGAGGGTTTAAACTATAACCCTTTGATGGTGAGGTTTAAGCTACTATAACTACACCCTTGATGGTGAGGGTTTAAACTATAACCCTTGATGGTGAGAGTTTAAACTATAATCCCTTGATGGTGAGAGTTTAAACTATAACGCTTTGATGGTGAGGGTTTAAACTATAACCCCTTGATGGTGAGGGTTTAAACTATAACCCCCTGATGGTGAGAGTTTTAAACTATAACCCCTTGATGGTGAGGGTTTAAACTATAACCCCTTGATGGTGAGGGTTTAAACTATAACCCCTTGATGGTGAGGGTTTAAACTATAACCCCTTGATGGTGAGGGTTTAAACTATAACCCCTTGATGGTGAAGGTTTAAACTATAACCCCTTGATGGTGAGAGTTTAAACTATAACCCTTGATGGTGAGGGTTTAAACTATAACCCCTTGATGGTGAGAGTTTAAACTATAACCCCTTGATGGTGAGAGTTTAAACTATAACCCCTTGATGGTGAGGGTTTAAACTATACCCCCTTGATGGTGAGGGTTTAAACTATAACCCCTTGATGGTGAGAGTTTAAACTATAACCCTTGATGGTGAGGGTTTAAACTATAACCCCTTGATGGTGAGAGTTTAAACTATAACCCCTTGATGGTGAGAGTTTAAACTATAACGCTTTGATGGTGATGGTTTAAGTTTCGGCCATTTGTGAACGACAACTTATGTCGTAATACTCATGGTTATAAAGTTTCGTCCTAAAAGGGTTAACATCAATGTGAGAATGTCTTCTTCTTCTTCTTCTTCTTCTTCTTCTTCTTCTTCTTCTTCTTCTTCTTCTTCTTCTTCTTCTTCTTCTTCTTCTTCTTCTTCTTCTTCTTCTTCTTCTTCTTCTTCTTCTTCTTCTTCTTCTTCTTCTTCTTCTTCTTCTTCTTCTTCTTCTTCTTCTTCTTCTTCTTCTAAGGTTGCCCCGGAAACTTTAGTTTATTGGGCACTTACATCATGTGCAAGGTGAAGCGCAGAAGCGTTTACAGTGCCCAACTGGGAAGCATGCGGAGTTCATGCTTGCCTTTATGACTCATGCATTAAGGGCGTAAAAGGCCTGAAGGGTCATGGGTTTTGTCAGCAAGTTACATAAAGTGACAATGATGAGTGTGTGGGGGGAAAATTCCCGGTACAATTTATCTGTTTATGGCAAAGTGTGGCAGGTCCCTAATAATGTCAAGTGCCAGGCCTGTCACTAGGAGGAGGGATATCTGGTCAGGGAGGGAAGAGGTGCCACCCCTGTAGGGGGAGGTCATAGGGCAAATGAGGATGTGGTGAAAGAGGGTGTGAGAGTCTGTTGACCACAAAGTTTACAAACAGTGCGGCCAGGCTCAGGGTTGCCAATGTACTAGGCGTGGCGAAGTACAGTGGGGGTGGAGGTGATATGGTGTGGTGGGGCAGGTACAGTAGGGGTGGAGGGAGGCACATAGGCATTGACAACATTGAGGGACACACCTTTTAGTGTTATTGTGATGGTGTGTTCGTCGACATGTCGGTGGGGTACAGGTAGCCGGGGGTGGTGTCCTCAGGTCCAGGTAGCCCTGGTGGAGACAGCTCAGACACGGAGCGGGCGCGCTTGCGGTGGGTGGAGGACAGGTTGAGGCACCAAGTGTTGTGAGGATGGGGCAGGACTTCGCTCGGGGGCAGCAGGACACACCAGGGCAGGCCCGGTAGGCGCTACACCAGTAGTGAAGGCCGCCGGCGGTGGAGTAGGCCGTGAGCAGGGGGGGCTCACAGGGGGACCAACAGCTTGTGTCAAACCAGAAGAGAGGAGTGACTGGGTGGCAACAGAGGGCAGGAGTAGGTGGGAGATGGTGGTACAGAGTGTAGCGAAGAGTTGTTCAATACGGTTGGTAAATTCTTGGAAGAGGGATATGATCTGTGTCATGTCACTGGCGGGGGGTTGTGGGGGGGCACCGGTGGGAGCACAAGGCCTGACAGCCTCAGAGTAGAGACGGGGAGGAGGCCCAGTAGTAGTTGAGTTAGGAGACGGCCGGGACTGCTGTGTTGTAGCCAGATGAGGCCAGGCAGAGGCAGGTGTTGTTGAAGAAGGCGTTGCTGGAGACACAGGGTACACAGGGGGGTGTGGCCCGGAAGACTGGGGGGGGGCGTTGTGGTAGACTTGGCCTTCGGGGAGGCTTTTCCCCTGGGACAGACGGGCGATTGGGGCATTGCCGTGAGTCAGCATTGTGCCGGCCGCCACAGTTACAACATCTGGGATTAATTACATAGCCCACCCCACCACTATTAAGGTGGTCTTTGATTTTCTGGGCACAGGCGGCGGAGTTGTGGTTACGTGAACAGAAGCGACATCTCGGCCGATCATGACGACAGCAGGCAGTGAAGTTGTGACCCCAATGAGAACAGACAACACAAAATGCAGGCTCAGGATGGTAGGCTTCTGCTTGCAGTGGGGGTAAGAGTGGGTGGGCATTCACAGTGGTTGGGCACTCCCTTCCATTCCACTTGACAATGACAGCTGGTTGTGGAACTCTTCCCCCAGTAATGGCGACGTATACTCAGTATACTAGAGTTAAAGTCACGCGCATCTTCGATGTCAGCGTATAAGGGGAAACGTTTCACTAGGATGTAGCAACATTCATCCGCGTCTACAGGGGGCGGCAGCGGACGACCCCGTCAAAGCCAACAGTACTAAGTGTTTCATAGGCCTCAGGAGTCTGACACTTGATAAAGTTCCGGTTCTTACCTTGTCGGAATTCAATGCTGAAACCGTGCTGTCTGCAGTACTTCATCATCCAGTTAAAGCGTTCCTCTACAGTTTTCAGAGAGTCCTTGGGGAAGTGGAGATTCAGCTTACTTGTTTGTTTGGCAGAGGGCAGGGTGATAGGGTCCATGGCATTGGTGTTTCCACTGTGGCTAGCGTTTCCCATAGAAACACTGGGGTCTGACTCTTGAAGGGTGTTGGATTCAGTATGACCAGGCGAGTTGGTAATGGCATCAGTATCAGAGATGTCTGCGTCTGCGTCTATGAGAAAGCCTCTTCTGGGACGTTTATGTCGACCCCCCATGCTGGCAAAACCTGCCGGCTGAGGGGACCTGTGCGGGACAATCGGGAAGTCAAGAGCACCTATGGGTACGTCTGTTCCCTTGGGTGGTCACGCCACGACTGAGAGCTTCTTCTTTTTCATCTTCTTCTTCTTCTTCACCTGTGTCTTATTAACCCCACGACAGCTCTCGGGTCGGATGCACATAAAACCTTACATAGCAGACTGTTTTTTCTCACCTATACAAACAGTACTCTTAGGAACCTGCCGTCCGTATATCAACACCTACCTTTATCTCTCTTACAGTTCCCCCGGGTCCCCCCATGGTGCTCTGGCGTGGGCGTGGGGTGGTGGGCGCTGTAGGACCCCTGGGAGAGGGACAGAGGACTGATCTCACCTGTCGCAGTTCAGGGGGTCGTCCGTCACCTGTCCTCACCTGGTGGCACAGTGGACGCCGTCTCCCTCTACTCAGTGCTAACTCATCATTAGACCCTATCTCTGGTGAGTTATATTATTTTTTTACTCTCTCTCTCTCTCTCTCTCTCTCTCTCTCTCTCTCTCTCTCTCTCTCTCTCTCTCTCTCTCTCTCTCTCTCTCTCTCCTCTCTCTCCTCTCCTCTCCTCTCCCCCTCTCTCTCTCTCCCTCTTCTCTCCCTCTTTCTTTCCCCTCCCCATCTCCTTCTATCCTCTCTCTCCTCCCCCTCTTTCTCATTACACCAGAATAAGAACGTTTCTCACCTGTCATTGAGATCACCATTCCCGTAACCTTTCATTCACCTCTCATTTACTATCATAACCAATCATTAACTTTACACTGAGTTTCATTAACGTCACATTAACTATAATCAACCTAACATTAACTATCACTTTCTACCATTGACCTTTCCTTAACTATCATCATCTATCATTAACATTTCCTTTAAATGTCATTACATATCATTTAACTTTTCATTTTTAATTTAATTAGCTATTATTCACATATTAATATTTTTTTATAAAACGTCATTGCAGTTTAATTCATCATTATTAACACTTCATTATTCTCGCAATAGTTACCGGTAATTAACCTTCATCTACCTAGTAAAATCAATTCTCACTAATCTATTGGATATTATTGACCTTTCCTTGACCTTTCATCAATTGAAATTAGCCATTATATTAGCATCATTAACCTATAATTAATTCACTGATGTTATGTTAACTTTCATTAGCTCATTAATTCGTTACCTTTGATCAACTTCGTTAAAATTTAATTAATTTACATAAACTTTTATTTATCTCTCATTCATTTTTCTCTCCCTTTCTGTTACATTATGAAGCTTTTCATTAAGTTTTCAATAACCTCCACATAATTTTATCAGGTAAAATACACCTTTTAAAATCACTTAACCTGTTTATAATTATCGTTGATCATTAACTTTCATTAAACTGTGAATAAACTTTCCATAAATTTCATAAGGTTTAGTCAATTTTCAAGAAAATCCCTTAGTTTTAGATACTCTCTCAATAACATACTACTAAATTTCATCAACTTCCAATAATTTTCATAATTTTTTACATAAGTTGTATTTTCTCCCTTCCATCATTAAGATACTTTGATTATTATTATGTTAAATTATTTAATTAATGAGTAGAATATTCCTCTCTCCTCCCTGGGTCTGCTCACCCTTCAGCTCAGGTCACTTGCTTTTTAGACACACAAACTAGAGTGGTTCCTTGCCATAAAAAATGTGTATATTCTTTTTTCGAACCTACAGGACTGTCCTTGTAAAATATGTGAAGTACGTCATGTTTATATTATATAGCTACCTGCAATTATATATTTTTATCAAGCTTCCTAAGAACATAATGAGAAAAAACACATAGTCTCTCTTTTTATACAATCAATCTTAATGACTCTTAAGTATAATACTGAGAAACTCTGTAGGCCTAGAAAAGTATTGTAGATACTAAAGGTAAACTACTATCATATTATAAAATAATATTCTAAGCTTTTCTCATTCATCAAAAAGACAAAAGCAGACAAGCAGGAACTTTCCTAGTGTCATCCCAATTGCACGATCGGCTGTTTTTTTGCGATTTTTACCATTTTAGTTAAATGATTAGGTTAGGTTAGGTTAGGTTACGTTAGGATAAATTGCATAAAACAGACGATCGTACAATTGGGAAGAATTTCTTTCAAGAATACGATGGAGGATGAGAGGATGGAAAACTTCAGAGAAAGGATGATAGATGAAGGATAAACTTTGATGTCGTTACTGGTGATAATAGTCACTGTATGGCTACGTCTAGCTGTGTATAATAATTAATAACATTCTTCTTTTTCTCGTAACAGGGACGTACACGGCGGAATCGGTAGTATCAGTGACAGCGACGAGAGAGCTACTTAGGGAGACGCTAACTTGTCAGGCCCACATCCCCATGGAGGGTGAGAACCGTGAGACGACCATCGTTCAGCCCCGCACAGCCACGGTCTCTCTCAATATAACATGTAAGTTGAGAAGTAAATATAAAATACTGACACATCTTGAAATTACATGATTACGGTATCCCCTGTGTCAATTCGAAAAAAAATAAAAATAAAAATTAAATGAATCTTTTTGCAACCTTCTTAGCAGCAAGGCATAAAAGGGTTTCTACCTTACATCTAACAAGTCACTGCTACTAAAGATTGTAGACAAAAATATTATACGTTCCTTATATTTCTTGTATGTTATTATTGATTTAAATTTGATAAAAAGTAGTGACGCAGAGGTAAAGTAATGACGGGAAGGTGGGTGTGTGGCGTAGATTTGAAGGTTGATATTGAAGCTTCTTAATGGACTTTTTGCTCAATGATAGATATTATCTGTGTGTTCCTTGAAATTGTTGTTAATGTTGCGGGTATTGATGGTAAACTCGTAGTCTTATAATTACTCATGTTTTTGTTGTGGTTGTTATTAACAGTTTGCACAGCTAATAATACCCTCTTTGTTTACACAGCCACAGATGGTGTTATTGTTAAGTTATTAATGCCGTCATTGTTTACAGTCTATACAGCCACAGATGGTGTTGTTAAGTTATTAATACCGCTACTGTTTACACAGCCACAGATAGTGTTGTTAAGTTATTAATACCGCTATTGTTTACACACCACAGATGGTGTTATTGTTAACATCATTGTTTACCTCACAGTGGCGCCGGTGGAGGTGAGGATCTTGGGTTCAGGATCAGCGGTGACGGCAGGAACCACCATGAGGCTTGTGTGTCGCGCCGCGGGTTCACACCCCCCAGCCCACCTTACCTGGTGGCGTGGCCACTCCCGCCTCCCCCAGGTCACCCACTCTGTGAGTATACCCCGTCCTTCATCACAGGTCACCTACGCTCTAAGTATACCCCAGCACACTACCCCCCGTCCCCCACCCCAGGTTACCCACGATGTGAGTATACCCCAGCACACTACCCCCCGTCCCCCACCCCAGGTTACCCACGATGTGAGTATACCCCAGCACACTACCCGTCCCCACCCCAGGTTACCCACGATGAGTATACCCCAGCACACTACCCGCGTCCCCCACCCCAGGTTACCCACGATGTGAGTATACCCCAGCACACTACCCCCCGTCCCCCACCAGGTTACCCACGATGGTATACCCCAGCACACTACCCCCACCCCGCCCCAGGTCCAGGTTACCCACCCCAGCACACTACCGTCCCCCCCACCCCAGGTTACCCACGATGAGTATACCACACTACCCGCGTCCCCACCCCAGGTCACCCACCGTGTGATATACCCCAGCACACTACCCGCGTCCCCCACCCCAGGTCACCCACCATGTCCCCAACACACTACCCCGCGTCCCCCACCCCAGGTCACCCACCGTGTGAGTATACCCCAGCACACTACCCGCGTCCCGCACCCCAGGTCACCCACCGTGTGAGTATACTGTTATACCTTTGTCAATCTGTCTAATGAGTCTTTTCCCTGTCTGTCTGTTTTGTTTTTTTCTCTCTCACTGTTATATATTCTCAAGGGGCTAAACAGGCATCACTATGTTCATATAGTTTTTAGTTCTAAAACTCACTACCTGTCCCTCCTCTCTCTCTCTCTCTCTCTCTCTCTCTCTCTCTCTCTCTCTCTCTCTCTCATGTACATTGAATTCGCCTTTCCTTTCATCCTCTCTCTCTCCTATATATGAAGGACTCTCTCTCTTACATATAAGGACTCTTTCTCTCTCTCTCTTTCATTCACTCTTACATTTTCTCCCTCTCTTATTGTCCTGCTCTCTCCCATAGATAGATGATGGGGGGAACATCACGACGGCGACGCTGACGATTATGGTGAACCGAGAGCACGACGGTACCATCCTCTCCTGCAGCGGCGTCAACCCTCTCCTCCACCAAGCTCCCCTCACCGACACCACCACTCTTGTTGTCTACTGTGAGTACCTCTCTCTCTCTCTTTCTCTCTCCCTTTCTTCTTTTTCATCTCGGGCAAGTTTTCCTTACCAAACTTGGTCCATTATGCAGCAGAATGCAATCAAATCTGTTTAAATGTCTCTTCCGGCTTTGAGGTCCTCTCTTACGTGGGGGCTGGCCAAATGGTCCCAGTCCTAATTAGGCCATAAGTTTAAAGGACTCTAATTTTAATGGATTCCAATTCTAATGAGTCCCAAACCTAACAGATTCCAATCCTAGTGGTAATTTAGTTTAGTTTGGGTTCGGTTAACTATCTCGCTGCAAGTCCAGCACTTTATTATTTTAATATGGCTACCGCCAGGCGACTTTATTCAAGTTAGGGAACCTTGAGCAGCCAAAGCGCTGAGACTGGGGATTATTAAAATCGGAGTCTATTAGTCTGGGGACTATTATAATTGGGGCCTAGTAGAACTTGAGTCTATTTAACTAACAACCTCTCACGTAGACCAACATGTATAAGTGTTTCGACATCATCAGCATTGTTATACCAGACAAGAACGCTGCCACACACCTCCAACATTTTATAGCAGCAGTGGTCATGACCTAATTTGAACAGAGAGGTTATATAACATAGTTAAATTAGAGCGACGAGGGGACGTAAAAACTTTTTGGGGGGTGGGGAACAAAAAGGTGTTACAGGTGAGTGATATTACGTTGTGTAGCGACAAACACATCTGTTACATCAATAAAACTAAATGAACAAAATAGAATGACGAATAGTATCAGTGTTTGCTCCTTGACTCAGGTCACTTTACATGCATTTTATGGAAAAAAGGTTTCTAATATATTTGTATTATAACAAAAGAAACAAAATATTTCGATTTTGGGGGCTAATTATCTGGTTTTAAACCATTAATTATTATACGAATTATCACTCACACACACACACACACACACACACACACACACTAAACACACACACACAATATTACTACTACTACTTTGCTGTCACTCGGAATCGAGTATGACGATCATCCAGCTATGATACAATGATATGAGTTATTAAGGATGTCACCTCGGTTGGTGAGTTCTGAGGTGACTAAAGTGGCTGATACAGGACCGGCAGAGTCGTTCACAGAAGTTGAACTTGTGGAGGGCTCCAACTAGTGCGGGAGGGGCGGCACCAGCGTCTTTCCGGTCCTGGGCTTGTCTGCCTCAGTTTGTAGTCGGGCTAATTCGAAAGTATTGACACCTTCTCGTGTGGTGATCCTCCAAGCGTTATGGTGTGGAGTGATCGTCTCCCAGGTGAGGGGGTCAAATTGGCAATTTTTCAGGTTTGTCATAAGACTATCCTTATACCCTTTCAGTTGCCCGGCAGCATTACGTTTGCTATTCGTTATATGGCTGTAAAATACCTGCTTTGGCAGTCTACTATCGTCTATGCGGGTAACATGGCCAGTCCAACGTAGTTGTTCATGGATAATGGTAGCCTCGATGCTCCCACAGTAGGTGTCAGCGAGAATACTGGCATTTGTTCTCTTGCCTTCCCAGCGAACTCGGAGGATGGAACGTAGACTACGTTGGTGAAATTTTTCAAGGGCCTTGAGGTGCCTCCTGTATGTGACCCATGTCTCACTGCCATATAGCAGGGTAGTGAGGACCACTGCTCGATATACGTGCAACTTTGTAGATAATTTCAGCTCCCTACAGCTGAAGACACGGGTACGTAGTCTGTCAAAGGCTTGGGATACACAGCTGATCCGATGTTGAATCTCATTATTGATGTCCGCGGTGGTGGACAGTTAGGAGCCGAGATACTGAAAGTAGGTAACATCAGAGAGGGTACTACCATTAAGCTCGATGGATGGTGGAGGTGTGTCTGAACCAAGGGCAGGCTGAAAGAGAATCTGACTCATACGTACATTCACCGCAAAGTCAAAATGTGCATATGCATCTGCGTAGGTGTTCAAGATCTCTTGTAGGTCGCGTTCAGTGCGAGAGACAAGGGTGAGATCGTCTGCATACTGAAGTTCAGTAATGGAAGCTGCTGACCTCTTTGTTCCTGCTTGGAGTCGTCTTATGTTGAAAAGATTCTTCATCCGGTACTCAGTGTCCACCCCGCCGGCTTAATTGGCACTAGCACGAGTAAGGAAGGCAGCCAAGAAGATGGAAAAGAAAGCTGGAGCCAGTACACATCCTTGTTTTACCCCACGTTTGGATGGGGAACAGCTCAGACTGCACGCCATTGTGCAGGGCATTGCTGTTCAAGCTGTCGTGCAGTTGCCTCACAATGGCGATGAATTTTTGTGGGCAGCCAAACGGCTGAGGATCCGACAGAGGGCTTCCCTGTTGACCGAATCGAAGGCCTTGGTTCGGTCGATAAAGGCCATGTATAGGTCGCCACACTGTTCTCTGCAATTTTCCTGTATCTGGCGAGCAGCAAAGAGCATGTCATTGGTGCCATGTGATGATCTAAGGACACGTTGAGATTCTGGTGGGAAGTTTTCCGCCTCAGGTAGTAGTCTGTTTAGGAGGACTCGGGCGATAATCTTGCCAGCTATGAACAGCAGCGAGATCCCGCTTCTACACCTTAAACAAATTCATGTCTAGTTAGCCCTAGGACCGGCCATCTTCGTTACACGATGGGCAACCATTATTATTATCGGCCCATTTTCGAGCTTCTTTCTGCAATCACGTGCTACCGCTGGAACCTCCAGACATTTAGTGTTAAAACCTTTTCTGGAGGCTTGTTGCCATCGTCGTTTTGGGGGGACATGAAGTGAGAGCTTGGCACTATCGAGGCGATGATCAGTGTCGCAGTCATCTGAGCCACGCATAACTCGGGTGAAGAGGACAACTCGGTGATCTCTCTCTCTGACATTGCTGTAGTTAATGAGATGCCAGTGTTTGGATCGTGGGTATTGGTGATAGTAAGGTTGTGTGCAACACACCTGCCGAGGAGGAGTACGCCGTTGGCATTACACTTGCCTTGTCCACTTCTCCCTATGATTTCCTGCCAAATGTCAGCATCTTTGTCAACTCTGGCATTGAAGTCACCAAGGAGCACAACCTTATCGTCTCCTGGGAAAGAAGTCGGCGTGAAAGGCCTCCTTGATGTCATCCTCTGCATCCAGTGTTGGGGCGTATGCACTGATGAAAAAGGCATGACGTGAGTGATTCAGTGTGACTCTGAGCGTCATGATGCGCTCGTTGATCCCATCAGGCATTTCATTTAGCCTGTGTAGGATGCGTGGCGGATGGCAAAGCTAACTCCATAATTGCGGTTTCTCTCCGCAGCAGGCTTACCCTTCCAGAAGAAGGTATAGTCCCCCCCTCCCCGACTCATACACATCCTCACACGTATGCACACACACACACACACACACACACACACAACAAAACATAGAATTAAATAAAGCAGTATTTTGTTTGGTTGTATTAGAAGATAGCAAAGTGTATTTACTGTGCTATCCATAATGTTTACCAAGACCTTAGGACTCCCCATCCTAACTAATTTATGTCTCTGTATGTCTGCGTCTCTCTGTTGGTCTGTCTCAGTATCTGTCTCTTTACATCATCTCAGTCTCGTTTTCCTGTCATTCACTCTTTCTATTGATTTGATTTTTTATCTCCTTCCATATTTTGCTATCTCTCTCTCTCTCTCTCTCTCTCTCTCTCTCCTTCTCTTTATCTACTCTATCTATCTGTCTGTTTATACATACATCTACCTACAGTCATAAATTCAGGAGGCAGGACATCACACCTATTAAACTGATCTACAATTTTCATCACCCTGTTGATTTTTTTTAGGGTATAAAGAGCTGGTGAGAGATTTATTAGCCAGCGAACAGTGAATAATTTTAACCCACCAGAGAATCCATTGTGTGTTTTATGAAATTTTAGAGAGAGAGAGAGAGAGAGAGAGAGAGAGAGAGAGAGAGAGAGAGAGAATAACCATCTTAGCGACTTAAAAAGAAAAAAAAGATTTGTAGAGACTTGGAATGAAGCTGTGAGTGACTACCTTACTAGGACTCATCAACAAAGAACACGACGGAATGATAAAAGTAAAAGATAAGTTCAGGCATTTTTGTTTTAATGAAACAATAAAAATTTCTTCGTAGTGACAATCCTAACCAGTCATGACGCCAGCTGAATGGATCAATTTGGCAGGAACTCGATTTCTTATGAACACCGTGAGAGATAAAGAGAGAAAAACACAAAAACAAACAGACAGAGACAAAGACGAAATTTCTCCTATTGTGCAGCTTGAAGTATTTATTCAATGCCAGTCATCAGTCGCAATAATAAGCCATTGTCTTACCATGAAGCAAATATTTTAAATTAAACGAAAAATTAATAAATATAATATTGATAAAGAAAAATCATGTCAGTCAAAATGATGATGCTACCACCAAAGACAGGTAAATTATTATTATTATTATTATCATCATCATCATCATTATTATTATTATTATTATTATTATTATTATTATCATTATTATTATTATTATTATCATTATTATTATTATTATCATTATTATTATTATTATCATTATCATTATTATTATTATCATTATTATCATTATTATCATTATTTTTATTTTTATTATCATTATTATTATTTTTATTATTATTATCATTATTATTATTATTATTATTATTATTATTATTATTATTATCATTATTATCATTATCATTATCATTATCATTATTATTATCATTATCATCATCATCATCATCATTATTATTATTATTATTATTATTATTATTATTATTATTATTATTGTTACGAGTTGGGGATTTAGAATATAGTTATACGTCTACCCAGATCCCAACAGGTAACAACAATAAAAAAAAACAAAGACAATCGGACTATAAAAGGGTAGACAAAGGATGCGAGTTTTCGTTGTATATAATAGAGTACCATAAATCCCTTAACAAAATATTCAGCTTATAAATTACCCTTAACCAAACTTAACCTAAACATTAACAGTATATACATATTAATAAACATAAAACAAT